GTATTGGGTCATAGTCACGGCAATTCGGTGATGTTTTCGGCACCAAATCGCATATTTCCCGATAAAATATGGCAGATGGAAGTAAATAACGTCTACAAAGGTGATATTTCACAGTAATAAAGAAGTATTTCGTTCATAACTGGGTGGTATGGGGTGGTATTGGGTAGTATTGGGTGGTATGGGGTAGTATTGGGTCATAGTCACGGCAATTCGGTGATGTTTTCGGCACCAAATCGCATATTTCCCGATAAAATATGGCATATGGAAGTAAATAACGTCTACAAAGGTGATATTTCACAGTAATAAAGAAGTATTTGGTTCATAACTGGGTCGTATTGGGTAGTATTGGGTGGTATTGGGTAGTATTGGGTGGTATTGGGTAGTATTGGGTGGTATGGGGTAGTATTGGGTAATTAGACGCGCCCCTTGTGTTTTATTACTCTGTAAAACAGTATAGCTAGGATGTGGCTACTTGAACTGTCCTTTACCCACTTCGGCCATACATCCTTGAACACCTATACAATAGTATAGGAATCGCTTCCCTTGCCAATATTTCAAACTATCGAGTTTCCTCTAAATCCAATTGTCTTTCAGTAAGTAGTTTTGCTCTGCCCGATAAGGCACATAATTCTAATAAATAATACACAGATATTGCTCAACTTTGAACTATTTCTTTCGTTATCTAAAGTAGACATGAGATTAAATTAGTCGTCATACAAGACCATCTTGTCTATCTCAAATTTTGTATTAACCCAAATAATTCAAATATGAACACTCCGTAAGAATGTTTCTCTGGCAATCATAAGCCAAGGCAGACATCTAGGATTTCAAGCGAGCCCAAGAAATAACAACTTGTTATGAGATGATCATTAGCACCATTATTGTCAACATTCACTAAAATTATAGACCTGCCAGGGGTCTGTTTCACAAACAGGGTGTGTTAGTTACATCCTGTTTGTGACCCACCTCTTTATCTCCTTTTGAGCCCTGCCCCTTGCTAGCTCTGCCCTGAGGATTTTTAAGAATTTTCCTCAATCAAGCATACAGTTCCAACCATTTTGATTTATCTTTTAAATACATACCAGTTTTATATGTATTAGAATTCCCATTATATATTACCAGTGTGAGTCATGAAATAAAGATCGAATGGAGAATGAATGTGAAATTATTTTCATCATATTCTCAATGTAAACATTCATGTACTTGCAACTACACATTTTGTGAATCTCTGGATCAGAGAATGCATTTCATTGTAAATTGAAACATTTCTGTTAGTTATAACATTGGACACTTTCACTCTGGAATGCAACAGGAGTGTTTTAAAACTAAGAAAAGGATAGTGAAAGTGTGCTGATACAAAACATTACAGTTTACCTGAGCAAGCATATCATCTGTGATAGATACTGAAGAATCCATTGTTACAGGGTCAGGCAGATCTAACAGTTCAGGATGGTTCTGCAGTACCTGTAGTATAATTGACCTTTAACTATTTTAACACGGTAAAAAAAAAAAGCAAGTTAAAATTTGATATTTCATCAATCAGAATGGATGAAGTGCCTTGAAATTGTACAGCTGTTAAAGAGCTGTTTACCTCATGTGTAATACATAGTAATTGTGTTTTACAGCTGTTGAGCTGTTGAGAGCTCTTTACCATATGTGTAATACATAGTTATTTTTGTAGTACAGCTGTTGAGAGCTGTCATCCTCATGTGTAATACATAGTTATTTTTGTAGTACAGCTGTTGAGAGCTGTCATCCTCATGTGAAATACATAGTTATTTTTGTAGTACAGATGTTGAGAGCTGTTTACCTCATGTGTAATACAGTTATTTTTGTAGTACAGCTGTTGAGAGCTGTCATCCTCATGTGTAATACATAGTAATTTTTGTTGTAGTATCTCTTTTTGTGATATGAAAGTGAAATCAATATATCGTTTCAAATCAGATGATAGATAACACTAACATAATTGAAGAAAATAAACTAGCACGTTCCATCAAAAATGCGTAAGTAATTAACAGGGAATCAAAGTTTAAAGTTTGTTTATTCAATATTCAAATTTTGACACTGACATTCAGTTTCATGTCTGAATTAATAGAAAATGTAAGTGTGTCAAGATTGTGTATTTTGAATTCACTCAAATTTCGACAACTACAGTATATTCACATAGAATTTGTTAACTAACAACGAGGAAAGTTCACTAGGGTGCTTTTTCAGCTCTGAGACTCACCTCTAGGGCCAAGCTTAGGTCATTATTGGATTGTCGAAGGGCCTCGGCTGATGCCCCATTCCTGAATCCCATTGCCAGTAACATCTCGTATGTGTCCACATTGACCCTGTTAACGGAATACCAGGGTGAGCAAAAAGCCTGATGTTTTCTTTTTGATGATTTATTTCATTTTTTTTGTATATATTGGTACATACTAATGAATACAACAATTTATAGTCAAGAGGTTCACTGGGCCTTTAGCTTTCCTCTGGACTGTATCATGAGTAAGCTAAGCATATACTTGTTAGCACAACAGTTGAGGTTAATACTGGAACTTAACTTTTATTTGTTTGTAACATATATGGTGAAACTCTAATCAGCTATCAACTCCATGTAATTCACTATGTGTACTAGTACTGTACCTGACAGTACAACACCATTATTGACAGGTTAATTAACAGGCATTGTAATAATGTGTAACAATGCATTCAGGAATTCATTTCAGACCCTAAAATTGAGCATTTTCAACCTGTGAATGAGCTTAACTTTTTCTTTTTTCTAGGAGCTGATGAAAGGACAGCTCAAAAGATGTCATTTAAAGTGTTACATTTTCCCTTGGGTGTACATAAACACGTTTGATAAATGAAATGAGTTCGGAAAATGTGCATTCAGAAAGTTAGAAATTTCAATTTTAATCTCAATTTCAAACATTTGGCAAGTATTAAGAAGAAGTTCAAAATATACCAATTGCATATTGGATATGTATACGATGCATCTTTTTTCACTTGAGCCTTCCAGAATTTTTTCATTTGTAACATATATCAACCGAATTCATCATATTGCTCGAAATGTGCATGTTTTATCACACACTGGGCAATCCATTGTTATATCGCCCAGTTGTGTGCACTATGTGAGGATGACATGCAGATGGTGTGCATGATATGTGCAATGTGCAATCACACAAGTGTAAGTCTTTCCATTATGATGGAACAAATTAAGTTTACAAGTTATTCATCAATTCACAGTGTGTATCTTGTCAAGTTCTCTTTACAGAAATCTATCTGATTTGCATCAGCTTTGATTAACCAACAATGTTAGAGGTTTACATGGCGAGATACAATAACAATGTTAGCGGTTTACATGGCGAGATACAATAACACTGTTAGAGGTTTACATGGCGAGATACAAGAACAATGTTAGAGGTTTACATGGCGACATACAATAACAATGTTAGAGGTTTAAATGGCGAGATACAATAACAATGTTAGAGGTTTAAATGGCGAGATACAATAACAATGTTACAGGTTTACATGGCGAGATACAATAACATTGTTAGAGGTTTACATGGCGAGATACAAGAACAATGTTAGAGGTTTACATGGCGAAATACAATAACAATGTTAGAGGTTTAAATGGCGAGATACAATAACAATGTTAGCGGTTTACATGGCGAGATACAATAACAAAGTTAGAGGTTTACATGGCGAGATACAAGAACAATGTTAGAGGTTTACATGGCGACATACAATAACAATGTTAGAGGTTTACGTGGCGAGATACAATAACAATGATAGAGGTTTACATGGCGAGATACAATAACAGTGTTAGAGGTTTACATGGCGAGATACAATAACAGTGTTAGAGGTTTACATGGCAAGATACAACAAGAGGCCCAAGTACATGGCGAGATACAATAACAATGATAGAGGTTTACATGGCGAGATACAAGAACAATGTTAGAGGTTTACATGGCGACATACAATAACAATGTTAGAGGTTTAAATGGCGAGATACAATAACAATGTTACAGGTTTACATGGCGAGATACAATAACAATGTTAGAGGGTTACATGGCGAGATACAATAACAATGTTAGAGGTTTACATTCCAATAACAATGTTAGAGGTTTACATGTCGAAATACAATAACAATGTTAGAGGTTTACGTGGCGAGATACAATAACATTGTTAGAGGTTTACATGGCGAGATACAATAACATTGTTAGAGGTTTACATGGCGAGATACAAGAACAATGTTAGAGGTTTACATGGCGACATACAATAACAATGTTAGAGGTTTAAATGGCGAGATACAATAACAATGTTAGAGGGTTACATGGCGAGATACAATAACAATGATAGAGGTTTACATGGCGAGATACAATAACATTGTTAGAGGTTTACATGGCGAGATACAATAACAGTGTTAGAGGTTTACATGGCAAGATACAATAACAATGTTAGAGGTTTAAATGGCGAGATACAATAACAATGTTAGAGGTTTACATGGTGAGATACAATAACAGTGTTAGAGGTTTACATGGCAAGATACAACAAGAGGCCCAAGGGCCTTAGCGGTCACCTGAGTTATATTATAGGTACTGGTAGCTTTATGTTATTGTTTAGATGTGATGTGGAAATCAGCATGTAAACTAAGTGAAATACAATACTTGTCATGTCATCAAAGGATAAGAATTTTAAGATATTTGTTAATGTTCACTTTGGGGCCCCGCCCTGGCCCCTAGGGTTGGGGTAGGAATCCCAATTTTACAATGTGATACCGTCATCCACCAAAGATGATTCTGACAAAGTAAGAATAATTTCCAACAGAAAATTGTCAAAATACATGTATACCCAAAAGTGTTATTTCCCTATATAAACTATAGTAAACTTTAACCCCTCCCCAAGGGAGAACGGATAGCTCGGTGGTCCTGAAATTTACAATTTAAATAAAGTCCCTGATGATCTTTCCATCCATGCAGAGAAAATGACTGTAATACCTCTGAGTCTGGAGAAGAAGATTTTTAAAATATTGGTTAATTTTCACTTTGGGGCACCGCCCTGGCCCCTAGGGTTGGGGTAGGAATCCCAATTTTACAATTTAAAACCATCTTCCTCCTCCAAGGATAATTCTCACCAAGTAAAAATAAATTCCAACAGAAAATTGTCAAAATATACCCAAAAGTGTTGTTTCCCTATATAAACTATAGTAAACTTTACCCCCTCCCCAAGAGAGAACGGATAGCTCGGTGGTCCTGAAATTTACAATTTAAATATAGCCCCTGATGATCTTTCCATCCATGCAGAGAAAATGACTGTAACACCTCTGAGTCTGGAGAAGAAGATTTTTGAAATATTGGTTAATTTTCACTTTTGGGCCCCGCCCTGGCCCCTAGGGTTGGGGTAGGAATCCCAATTTTACAATTTGGTAGCCTCATCTACCAAGGATGATTCTGACCAAAGTTTGAAAAAATTCCATCCACTGGTTCTTGAGAAGAAGTTGATAATGTAAAAAGTTTACGCACGACGCACAACGCACGACGACGGACGGAAGGTGATTGGAATAGGTCACTTGAGCAAAGCTCAGGTGACCTAAAAACAAGAGGCCCAGAGGGCCAGCACGCTCACCTGAATATGTTTAAAATAATTGGTATGAAGTAAAGATATAGCACTCCATAGTAGGTGCTGTAAGTACATATGAAATTTCAGAAAGATCCATCCAGTACTTGAGATATAACAAATTTCAAACAGAGCCCCACCACTATGCCCCTNTGCCCCTAAGGGAGGGGGGGGTCATACCCACCGTTTATACAAATTGAGTCCCCTTGGCCAAAGGATGCTCCAGACTAAATAAGGATAAAATCCCTTAATCACGATGGTCGAAAAAGGATTTTAAAGGTTTTACCTCTATTTCCCCTATAGGGCCCAGCCCCTCAGGTCCCAGGGGGGCCACACGCACCGTTTATACAAAATTGGTTCCCCTTAACACAAGGATGCTTCACACCAAATATGGACCAAATCTTTTCATTCCTACAGATGAAGAAGGATTTTTTAAGAATTTGCTATATTTCCCATATTGGGCCCCGCCCCTCAGCCCCCAAGGGGGCCAGACCCACCGTTTATACAAAATTGGTTTCCCTTAACCCAAGGATGCTCAACACCAAATATGGACCAAATCCTGTCATTCCTACAGAAGAAGAAGGATTTTATAGAATAATTTGCTATGTTCCCCTATCAGGCCCCACCCCTTTTTTGCCTTGGGGGGGCAAAACCCACGGTTTATACAAACTGAGTCCCCTTGGCCCAAGGATGCTCCAGACTTAATAAGGATAAAATTCCTTAATCCCTAGGGTAGGAGAAGGATTTTGAAGGTTTTACCTCTATTTCCCCTATTCGGCCCCGCCCATCTGCCCCAAGGGGCGCCACACCCACCATTATATACAAAATTGAGTCCCCTTGACCTAAGGATGCTGCTCCAGACCAAATTTAGTCAAAATCTACTTGGCCGTTCAGGACTAGTAGCGTTTTAAAGGAAAAGTGGACGGATGGACGGACGGATGCCAGACGCTGCGGTATGGCATAAGCTCACCATGGTCCTTCGGACCAGGTGAGCTAACAATGATAGAGGTTTACATGGTGAGATACAATAACAATGTTAGAGGTTTACAAGGTGAGATACAATAACAATGTTAGAGGTTTACAAGGTGAGATACAATAACAATGTTAGAGGTTTACATGGTGAGATACAATAACAATGTTAGAGGTTTACATTCTAGATCCGCCAGTCCAGTATATGTCAGCTCTAGATCTGCCAGTCCAGTATGTCTGTTCCAGACATACCAGTCCAATATGTCTGTTCCAGACATGTCAGTCCAATATGTCTGTTCCAGACATGCCAGTCCAGTATGTCAGCTCTATATCTGCCAGTCCAGTATGTCAGTTCTAGATCTGCCAGTCCAGTATGTCAGCTCTAGATCAGCAAGTCCAGTATGTCAGTCCTAGATCTGCCAGTCCAGTATGTCAGCCCTAGATCTGCCAGTCAAGTATGTCAGCTCTAGATCTTCCAGTCCAGTATGTCTGTTCTAGATCTGCCAGTCCAATATGCATGTTCTAGAACTGCTAGTCCAGTATGTTAGCTCTAGATCTGGCTGTCCAGTATGCCAGCTCTGGATCTGCAAGGCCAGTATGTCAGCTCTGGATCTGCCAGTCCAGTATGTCAGCTCTAGATCTTTCTAGATCTGGCAGTCCAGTATGTCAGCTCTATATCTGCCAGTCCAGTATGTCAGCCCTGGATCTGGCAGTCCAGTATGTCAGCTCTGGATCTGCCAGTCCATTATGTAAGCTCTGGATCTGCCAGTCCAGTATGTAAGCTCTGGATCTGCCAGTCCAGTATGTAAGCTCTGGATCTGCCAGTCCAGTATGTAAGCTCTAGATCTGCCAGTCCAGTATGTCAGCTCTGGATCTGCCAGTCCAGTATGTAAGCTCTAGATCTGCCAGTCCAGTATGTCAGCTCTATATCTGCCAGTCCCGTATGTCTGTTCTAGATATGCCAGTCCAGTATGTCGGCTCTAGATCTGCGAGTCCAGTATGTCAGCTCTGGATCTGCCAGTCCAGTATGTCTGTCCTAGATCTGCCAGTTCAGTATGTCTGTTCTAGATCTGCTAGTCCAGTATGTCTGTTCTAGATCTGCCAGTCAAGTATGTATAATCTATATCTACAAGTCCAGTATGTCAGCCCTAGATCTGCCAGTCCAGTATGGCAGTTCTAGATCTGCCAGTCCAGTATGTCTGTTCTGGATCTGCCAGTCAAGTATGTATGATCTAGATCTACCAGTCGAGTATGTCAGCTCTAGATCTGCCAGTCCAGTATGTCAGCCCTGGATCTGGCAGTCCAGTATGTCAGCTCTTGATCTGCCAGTCCAGTATGTCAGCTCTAGATCTGGCAGTCCAGTATGCCAGCTCTGGATCTGCAAGGCCAGTATGTCAGCTCTGTATCTGCCAGTCCAGTATGTCAGCTCTAGATCTGGCAGTCCAGTATGTCAGCTCTATATCTGCCAGTCCAGTATGTCAGCCCTGGATCTGGCAGTCCAGTATGTCAGCTCTTGATCTGCCAGTCCAGTATGTCAGCTCTAGATCTTCCAGTTCAGTATGTCTATTCTAAATCTGCCAGTCCAGTATGTCAGCTCTACCCCTGCCAGTTCACTATGTCTGTTCTAAATCTGCCAGTCCAGTATGTCTGTTCTAGATCTGCTAGTCCAGTATGTCAGCTCTGGATCTGCCAGTCCATTATGTAAGCTCTGGATCTGCCAGTCCAGTATGTAAGCTCTGGATCTGCCAGTCCAGTATGTAAGCTCTGGATCTGCCAGTCCAGTATGTAAGCTCTAGATCTGCCAGTCCAGTATGTCAGCTCTACACCTGCCAGTTCACTATGTCTGATCTATATCTGCCAGTCCAGTATGTCTGTTCTAGATATGCCAGTCCAGTATGTCGGCTCTAGATCTGCCAGTCCAGTATGTCAGCTCTATATCTGCCAGTCCCGTATGTCTGTTCTAGATATGCCAGTCCAGTATGTCGGCTCTAGATCTGCCAGTCCAGTATGTCAGCTCTGGATCTGCCAGTCCATTATGTCAGCTCTGGATCTGCCAGTCCAGTATGTCTGTTCTAGATCTGCCAGTCAAGTATGTATGATCTATATCTACAAGTCCAGTATGTCAGCCCTAGATCTTCCAGTCCAGTATGGCAGTTCTAGATCTGCCAGTCCAGTATGTCTGTTCTAGATCTGCCAGTCCAGTCTGTCAGCTCTATATCTGCCAGTCCAGTATGTCAGCCCTGGATCTGGCAGTCCAGTATGTCAGCTCTTGATCTGCCAGTCCAGTATGTCAGCTCTAGATCTTCCAGTTCAGTATGTCTATTCTAAATCTGCCAGTCCAGTATGTCAGCTCTACACCTGCCAGTTCACTATGTCTGTTCTAAATCTGCCAGTCCAGTATGTCTGTTCTAGATCCGCCAGTTGAGTATGTCAGCTCTAGATCTGCCAGTCCAGTATGTCTGTTCTAGATCTGCCAGTCGAGTATGTCTGTTCTAGATCCGCCAGTCAAGTATGTCAGATCTAGATCTGCCAGTCCAGTATGTCTGTTCTAGATCTGCCAGTCCAGTATGTCAGCTCTACATCTGCCAGTCCAGTCTGTCAGTTCTAGATCTGCCAGTCCAGTATGTCAGTTCTAGATTTGCCAGTCCAGTATGAGCCAAATTTAGTACAAGCATGCATGCACATAATTTTCTGAGGAAACATATTTGTGTAAAAGGTTAATTTTCAGTTTTTTGTTGGAGTTTAATTTCAAATGTGCTATTTCAAGGTAACATTTCTTGGGTCTTTATATTTGAGGGGATTGGTTATCAAGTTTAAAGAAAGGGTTAACCTTGATCAATTTTCAAGGTCAAAAGGGTAAAATATGTCAAAAGATTTTAACAACCTTTTGTAAATAAGGAAGAGGCCTAGGTCCATGATATTTGGCAAGGAGCGACTTCTAGACTGAAGGGCTTTTACATGGTTTCAGTGAATGACCTTTACTTCAATAAATAAGACTATAACAATGGCTACCACAATTTATCTTTTTATCAAAGTTTTTATGGCTGATAGCTTTTTTTGTGAGGACCTCAGTGATTTGATTTATATTAAATGAAAAATACACCTACAACCAATTACGATTAAATGATGGATTTTATTTGATTCAGAGGGGTTTTACTGGAGAGAAGCGAGCAGCCATATTTTTAGTAACCTAGTCAAAATTTTCAGGGGTGAAAGACATTTCTGTTTCAAGATATGTGATCACCTGACATTAATGATCAGGTTAAAATCCCAACAATATTCAAAATGAGCTATAATGTGTGAAATGAAAGAAACTCCTAAGCTGATAAAGTTATACATAAAACTTTCTTGAAATACATGCAACAATAACATACTTATCTCCCTTTGCTGTTGACCCTAAACATTTTTGCAATTTTTTCTTCCGTTTCTCTTCTTCCACCTTTTTAGTTATTTCTTTTTTTTCCTGAAACAAATTTAATATTGTGTAATATTGGTCTAAAGTGAGAGATGGGATCTACTCAAGTTCAGCACAATATTTCCCTTTTCCAGTATATGATATTCTATATCATTTTCTGTATTTTATTCTATTTCATATACAGTTTCCCTGTCTAAACCGGATGTCACCGGGACCAAACTATTTGTCTGGTTTACACAGGGTCGGCATGTCATTTTTTGAAGGTACAAAAATGTAGTGTTTTGCATACGATCTGTATACAAGTGTGTCAACATAAACAACAGAGAAATGAATCAATTGCAACGTTTAACTATTTAAAAAATATACAGAAAATGAAGGGTGACCCAACATTGGATAGCGCTAATTTAATTAGAATGTGTTTGCTTTAGATCGTAGAGAGAAATACCAGGACCAGAATGAACAGGTTGTTTTTACATGGATTACGATTCAATCATTTGTGGAACAACGCCGGTTTTCAGAATGAACAGGGTCCGGTTTGAACTACTATGATTATATAAGGAATATTGGGAATTTGACTTCCGGTTAGCGCCTGATAAGGCTTGCTCCTGTAGGCTTCTGGCAAATTTTGTATTTTTCACGAATATACTTATTTACCAACGCTGACATTTGCCATATCATTGTTGAAATAGTTCGAGATCATTTCTCGTCTATAATTAGAGTTTTTGAATTTGAAACTTTGTCATTATTTTGGTTTTAAATTTGTATATCAGAGGACAGAATTTCAGCCGCTGGGCGAGTTGTCTACATTTTTTGCTGTTGATGAGACGAAGTGATGTCTGTAATTTTTTTATATCATTTATACAGCAAAATTTTTGATGCAACCCGTTTCGACTTTCGCGAACGCACACTTGTCCAGGTGTTTTCTGAATTTCTAGTCAGTTAATATAACATATACCATTTTTAGTTAAGTATATTTGTATATTTAAACATTCTTTTCACATTTGACTTACATAGTAGTGATACGTAAACTTTAATAATCATTTGTGGTCAAATATTATCTGGGCTTGGATAGACGCCATCTTTGTTTTACCGTCGATTTTTGCCCCATATATCTGACCCGTCTCTGTATCCTCTCTCAGCTTTTGATCATTCTTGCTAATATAAACGGGATCATCTGCATGTGAAACATTACTGTATTTTTTCTGGAAAGTTAATATATCAATACAATTTTAAGAAATCTTTTTTGTGCCTTGTCAAATTTTGATCTGTTAGAGACATCTCGTCACAAATTTGTCATCTCGCGTTAACTTAAGAGGCACCAATGTGGGACCACTGGCAGGCCTGTAGCATAAATGTAAATATTTAATAGCACTTAAGATTAATATCAGTATTATTTTTTGATTCAATGATTCTTGATAACAATTCAAAATAGTAATACTCTAAAATCTGACTTTACTTTCTGATGCTATTTGTAATAATTTTCTGATGTCATTTGTAGTACTTTTCTGATGTCATTTGTAGTACTTTTCTGATGTCATTTGTAGTACTTTTCTGATGCCATTTGTAGTAATTTTCTATTGTCATTTGTAGTACTTTTCTGATGCCATTTGTAGTACTTTTCTGATGCCTTTTGTAGTAATTTTCTGATGCCATTTGTAGTACTTTTCTGATGCCTTTTGTAGTAATTTTCTGATGCCATTTGTAGTACTTTTCTGATGCCATTTGTAGTAATTTTCTGATGCCATTTGTAGTACTTTTCTGATGCCTTTTGTAGTAATTTTCTGATGCCATTTGTAGTACTTTTCTGATGCCTTTTGTAGTAATTTTACCTTAAAGAAAAGTCCATGTGAGGCCCCTTCCAGAATCAGAATCAGAAATTTGGTAGATATGTTCTAGACGCTTTGTACTGCTGCACTACTGTTTTTGTACATGCCACAGAAGAGGCATCAGTGGCGGTTGATATCACATTCTCTTACCCGGGACAGGTGTATCTGCACTTTTACCGGTGTGAGCTTTCCTTGTCTCACCCTAGGGTTGAGACGGGGGGATTCCCCTTTTCATAACAATGGCATGACGTCACTTCAACAATACAATGACGTCAGGTCAACTATCCATCAACGTCACGTCAACCCTGAATTTAGCATGTAACGTTATCGTTACATTGTGTATATGATACACAATGGGAGAACAGGGGTAAGAGAAAAAGAATCGTTCACCCCCTTGTGGGTGAGATAGGGGAATCTCAACCCTTGGGAAAAGATTCTTAAGTTGCCACCAAACACTCGGCAAAGCCTCATATTTGGCAACTTAAGAATCTTCCCCCTCGGGTTGAGATTCTCCTATCTAACCCCCAAGAGGGTGAAAGATTCTATTATTCATATATGTTTAAGTATAGTAGATCTGTTCTCCATTTAGACCAGTGAGTTATGATATTACTACACATCTTTTAGAGGATTTTTAGGAATCAAATTCGAAAAAAAATTGCACACAAGACGTGGGACACGGGCAGGAAAGGGTGCTGTTAGGCGATTACCAAGTGTTATCGGAGTTAAATCAAATGGTACCAGTGGTTGTACCCACTTGGGCCATGAACACTGTATATCTCATCCATTTGGTCACCACAAATGGTCTGTCTGCATGCCTCACACTTTCTTGCAGGGCCACACTGCACTTAAAGAAGTATCAGGCATCAACACTATTGTGCATTCTCGTAATGATACTTTCACACGGATTCCGACATCATCAGTATAGAACGAGAATTTACATGTCATCAAGCCAACAACAGCTGGTCACAGTAAGTCAGTTATTCGTCTGAATTTAGTGTCCTTAAATTGTTGCTCGGTGAAGAATAAGTCATTGTCCATCGGGGATTTTGTAACATCTCAGGACATTGACATTATTGCATTGACAGAAACCTGGTTAGGTTCAGATATCGATGACCAGGTACTAGCTGAGCTAATACCAACAGGCTATGGATTCCTCCACAATGCTAGACTCGGCAACCATGGTGGTGGGGTGGCAGTTCTGTTTAAGAAAGGCCCAAGTGTGAGACATCTCTCTTCCAGCCATGATGATGTATACACACACGTTGAGAACAAGACTTGTTCTGTCATAGCTGGTGATAAACAATTTAGATTGTGTATCTTTTACAGGTCTCCTCCATCTGAACAGAATGCTTTCCGAAATACAGTGTTTTTTTGATGAGTGGTCTACCTTTTTAGACCACCAAGTTGTTGTACCACAAGAGATTAATATCACGGGTGACCTAAATTTCCACTAAGACGATCTATCTAATGTTGATGCTCACCAGTTATCTGGGCTACTAGATTCCAGGGGTCTGATTCAGCATGTGACAGAAGTTACACACACCCATAGCCACACACTGGACGTGGTCATAATGAGGGAAGATAACTCAGTCATTCTTGGAGCAATTTCAGTGATTGATCCATGTCTAAGTGATGTAAAGGGGAACCAATCTGGTGATCATCTTGCTGTCTACGCAACACTAAATTGTAGTAAGCCAGATCATGCAAAGAAAGAGGTGAGCTTCCGGAAATTCCGCGAAATTTCATACACATCTGGTATAGAAGCCCTTATAAAGAAACACGCACCTCTGCAGACTAATTATAAGGTGATAACTGTGAGACAGAATGCCCCGTAGTATAATTAAAATCTCCGCGTAGAAAAACAGAACCGCAGAAAAAAAGCAGAGAGACATGGGCAACGGACCAAATTAACCTTTCACCAACAGATTTTTAGGGAACAATGTCGGCTAGTTGGTTCACTCCTCACTCATTCAAAGAAGGCTTATTATTCGGAAAGAATCGAAGGATGTTGTAAGGGTCATAGACAGCTTTTTAGACTCGCCAAAAACCTAATGGGACAGAAAGGTGAAATTATCCTACCAAGCTGTAATTCTGAAAAAGACGCGTCAAACAAGTTCAGTGATTACTTTCTGAATAAAATCAGCTCGATCAGGGAAAATAGGGCCGAAGTGAACTCTACTGCTGACAATGATATCTCTGTCATGACTGCTGACATTGAATTTGATGGGGAACCATTGACAAAGCTCTCACAAACAACCCAGGACGAGTTGCACAATATTATCATGACCTCGCAATCAAAAACCTGTGAGCTTGATCCACTGCCTACAGACCTATTAAAGCAATGTCTTAATGCACTGCATGCTTCCTTTGATGACCTCAATCATGAACAAATCATTGGCTGAGTCAAAGGTTCCATTGTGTTTCAAGCAGGCACATGTTAGACCATTGTTGAAGAAGCCTGGAATGGACAAGGAGGAGTTGAAGTACTACCGCCTAGTATCAAATCTGCCTTTTCTGTCTAAGATCTTGGAGAAGGTTGTGTCCCGGCGTTTAGAGCTTCTACATGCAAACAGTCTCCATGACAACATGGAATTGGCCTACCGCATGGGACACTCTTCTGAGATGGCCCTCCTATGTGTACATAATGACATAGCTTCTGCATTGGATAACAAGTGCAGAGCAGTGCTTGTCATGCTACCCTTGTAAGTTGCATTTGACGTCATCGACCATATGGCATACTTTATAAACGTCTGGAGTACTCCTATGGAGTGACAGATACTGTACTATGCTGGATACAGTCTCATCTGAGTAAACGACGACAGTGTGTTGCCATCGGACCTACCACCTCACATGACAAAGTACTAGATTTGGGTTGGTGTTAGGACCATGAAAATATTGCATGTACTCTGAACCAATTGGAGAGATTTGTCGTCGCCATAGCCTTCGCTATCATTGCTATGCTGATGACACACTAATTTACATGGTCATCAAACAACAGGACAGTTGGGATACAATTTCAGAAAATCTGGAAGCTTGTCTGATAGATATCAGTACCTGGATGAATGCCAACATGCTAAAGCTTAATCAGGAAAATACAGAACTAATCGTCTTTACCTGAAAGTGTCAGCAAACAATGGCTCTCCAGCTCAAGCTCGGTACCAGAACTATTAGGACTGTCCCAGTTGTTAAAAACCTAGGGGTATACTTTGATAGTTTACTGAACATGGAGAAACAAGTGAACGCTATTGCCAAATCCTGTTACTACCTGATCAGGAACATCGGCTGTATTCGCCAGTTTATAACTGCAGATGCATGCAAAATTTTGGTGCATTCTCGGTTGGATTATGGTAACGCCCTGCTCTGTGGCATATCTGACAAACTAACTAGTCATCTGCAGAGGGTCCAGAACACTGCAGCACGGCTGGTTATTCGTACTCGAAAGAGAAAGCACATCACACCCGTGCTATATTCATTGCACTCGTTACCAGTACGATACAGGTCGCAGTACACATACAAGGCACTGAATGGAACAGCTCCCCAATACCTACAGGAGCTTGGTACCCTGTATCAGCCGTCATGATCACTGCGATCGGAGTCAGAATCATTGTTGTGTGTCCCAAAATCTCGTACTGTGACCTATGGAAACTGGTGCTTTGGGAGGGTTTCCGCCACATTGTGGAATAGCTTACCATCTGCTATTAGAAGTCAAATACCCTGGCCAAATTCAAGACGGACATCAAAACTCACCTCTACACGTCTGCATTTTAAGCTCATTGCAAAGACGTCATGTAAATACCACCCTTTATTTGTTCATTTATGTGCATATTGCGATGATTATCTGCTTGCTTAAATGTATAAATGTGATTGTAAGCCTTTGTTTTTGTTTCATAAATATAACTTATACCATTAACAATATGTTGTAAAGCGCTTTAGAGTAATTTTATAAATTATATAGGGTGCTATATAAATGTATATAGATGCCGGGACCACAAATTGCAGCCGGTTTAGACAGGGATCCGAATTAGACACCAGGGGCCGGTTTAGACAGGTTATACTGTATTTATATATAAATCTAAACTAAGCATTTTATTGATTTTTATTAATTTTTGATAGAAACACTGTGTATAAGACATTCAGGTTTTCAAATGATTGTCGTTTTAAAAGAGAAATTAAACAGAAACACATTTCTGTGACACTTAAGGTCAGGTTACTGTAAAAAGTATTATATAGTAAATCAAAAGAATGATATAATCTCACTGGATTTATTACCTCACGCTTTTTCATGATATACTGGATAGAGGCCTCAACATCCCCATTGGTTAACCTAAGTGCTAATCGACCATCTCTCTCCTGGAAACCCATATGTATCACTGAAAAAACAAAACAAAACAAAATTACACTCCATTATGTAAAACAATTAAGTCAGAATTAAGCCCTTGTAACAAATAACATGGCAGATGTACAATGATTGATGAGGACTATCTGGCCCGTGTTATTGTTGGTACAGTTACAAACAAGATGGCAGATGTATACATTGATTGATGAGGACTATCTGGCCCGTGTTATTGTTGGTACAGTAACAAACAAGATTGCAGATGTATACATTGATTGATGAGGACTATATATCTGGCCCGTGTTATTGTTGGTACAGTAGTATTTATAACAGTTTCAATAATTGTAAGCGACTCTCTAATAATGTTAGTAAGATATTTTCTCACTATTGGTCGATAACAGTAATTGATCTCGCGCCCCACATAGTGACACATGCAGTCTTGTTGGGGATTCCCAAATGCTATTTTCTGACGTAAACACTGAATGGGTTGCACTGACGAAGTGTGCAATTCGTAGCTATATGAAATTATATGTGTAAACAAATGCAATCCTGTGGATAAAAACCGTTTAAAGATTTCATTATTTACCGTTGTAATAAATGTGCAAAATCGCATTATTTTTGTGTTGTTACATGATGATTCAAAGCTAAGTCACGCTGGCTACAAAACTTTCAAAATCAAATCTATATAAGTGGACAAAGAAATGAATCCTCGATGAAGTTGTTTTCCAGAGACTGCTTATCATTCAGAAACAGACATTTAACTCCACACACTCCTATGTAGAGAATGAAAACACGACACGCAATACAATTGATGTTGTGGTTCAACATCATCAATTACCAAGTTCAAGAAGCGTGACCGTATCCCATTTCTTGAATGGAGTGTAAGTTACATTAATCCTTCTGTGGAATAAACTTCCTTCAAAAGTGTGATTTTAAAAGGATAAGGTAGAATGAAAACTGTTTTGTTTGGACTACAAGTTTTCTAGAAATCACATTTCAAATGGTAAACACTGTTTATGATATAAAAAATATATGAAATTGACTGTTTGTTCTGTTGCTATAATACCAAAGAAAATGAATGTATACGCTGTTTCAAGAATGTAATTCATCAGGCTGGCAAAATAGATTTTTGTGTTAATGCTTTTCTGGAAACGTTGCAGAAGAAAAAAAAAATCTATCTTGTTTATGTTGTTTATGGATAACAACAACTGTTCTCACACAAATTGAATAATCTGCAAGATAGATATGGTGTAGGAGCTTGGAACAGCTCACCTTGGTTCTAAGTAATGATCAAAGTCCCTGAGACAGTCATGGTGCTAACAATTGAATGGTGGTGGTGGTGGCAATGGTGGTGGGGCTCATCTGTCTCTATGCTATGGAAGCAAGTCCCAAGGGTCAGGGCCAAGGCCAGATCCCCAGGTCAATCCTTGGCCCTGGAACTGTACAGCCAATTCTGGTAGCATGGATGCATTCATCTCTTCATGTCTACTAATTTCACCATGATTGGCCCTGACGTTTAGCCCTAAGAGGACCATACCCTTCTTTCATAAAGGATGAGTGTCTATTTTGGCCATCTGCTGGCTTTCACTGATAATATATTTTTGTATAAATCATGCATTAGTCAGATATCTAATAACAAGAGGCCCAAAGGGCCTGTATCACTCACCTGGATATCTAAGCAATCATGGCAAAATATTCTTCAAATAAGATCCAAGGGAATAATTGCCAGACCCCAAGGCCAATTCTTCTAGCATATCTGTATTAGATTTTTCATGCCCAGCAATTTCATGTATGGTTATGGGGTGGGGATCTCAACTATTGCCAGGCTGTGACTGAGAAACTAGGTCCCTAGGGTTGTGGCCAGACCCCAGGATCAATTCTAATACCATGACTGCATTTGTCTCTTTTTGACCAGCATTTGTATATATAGTTTTGGGGTGGGATCGAGGGATTTCAACCATTTTGAAGTTATGACCCAGGGGTTAAGTCTCCAAAGCCATCCTGGAAGCATATGTGCATTCATCTCCTTATACTCAGCAATTGTGTATATGGTTATAGGGTGGGGATCTCAACTGTTTCCAAGCTGTGACTAAGAAACTAGGTCCCTAGGGGTTCGGTCACACCCCAGGGTCTATTCTAATGTCATGACTGCATTCGTCTCTTTATATCCAGCATTTGTATATATAGTTTTGGGGTGGGGATCTCAACTGTTTTAAAGTTATGGCCCAGGGACCATGTCTCATAGGGTGGGGCCAGACACGTAGGGCCATCCTGGAAGCAAATGGGCATTCTTCTCTTTATACTCAGCAATTGTATATATGGTTATACGGTGGGGATTTCAACCATTTCCAAGTAATACACTTTTTTTGCCCCACCCTCTAGCCGGGGGGGTCAGCCCCCCTATTTGAACAATTTTGAATCCCTGCCTCCCATGAATGCTTCCGACCAAATATGATCGATATCCATGGCAATAAATGTTCTACAGAAGAAGTCTTTTATAGCAATATAGCCAAATTGACCCCTTTTGGCCCCGCCCCTCAGCCCTGGGGGGGNCAAATAACCTATTTTGGCTAGCGCCCCTCAGACCCACCATTTGTACAATTTTGAATCCCCACTACCCAGGGATGCTTCCAGTCAAATATGGTTGATATCCATCTTTTAGTTCAAGAGAAGAAGTAGCTTAAAGCAATATAGCAAAATTGCCCCCTTTTGGCCCCGCCCCTAAGCCCTCTGGGGGGTCAGACCCCACCATTTGTCCATTTTTGAATCCCCACCACCTAGGGATGCTTCCAATCAAATTTAGTTAAATTCCAATCAGTGGTTAAGAAGAAGAAGTCGTTTTAAGAAATTGTTGACAAACGGACGACGGTATGGCATAAGCTCACCTTGGTCCTTCGGACCTGGTGAGATAATAATAATAATAATTTGAGGTTCTTATATTCCGCTTTATCACAACCTATTTCATAGGTCCTCTCAAAGCAGTTCACAAATTATTATCCGTGGTTATAGGGCCTTTGCAACCAGCCAATATCTTTCTCAACTCCCTGGGGAGCATACAGCCGGTGCAGCCATTTCGGCACTCACAGCTAGCATTCTACAATTCTAGCACTGCCAAGCCACGTAGTCATTTACAGCTGAGTAGACTGGAACAAGCGGTGTAAAGTCTCTTGCTCAAAGATACAACACAGTGCCGTGCTGTGACTCGAACCCGCAACCCTTCGGTCACGAGCCCAGCGTCCTTCCACTAGCCTTAAGCAATGTACTGTTATGGGTGTGTTATCAGTATAGTCAGCGTCACATAGGTAAGTAAAATAATGCCTACATGTCCACTGGAATGGTCGATGGTCAGTATTCTTTACGTACCATTGGATAAGATATCCAACAAATTGTTTGTGTGGCTGTTGGTTTTTTTTCTTTCTTTTTTTTTCTTTTGTATTTCATTCATATGTAAATATCTGAAGCCAAGTCAAGTTTAAGTCCCTCACAACTAGTCCTAAAAAACATAATATATCTGTACTGAATTGCAAACATGTTTTGATTTTTGCTCAATTGCAAAATAGATTATTTCATGCTAAAAATTATTATTTGAATAAGAAATCTATACATCCCAGTATGCTGTTTTTATGGCAGAATTGTTACCTTGAGCAAGTTTGTCCTCATCTACATTTAACCGCTGTAGCTCTTCTTCAGCCTGAATAAGACAAAAACATTAAAACCACAAAATGTTTTAAAATGAAATTATGATTAAACAAGAAGCCCAGGGGCATATAAAAGTTTACTAATAATTTTATTTTTATAATACTTGAAACCTGTTGAATAACTTATAAGATGTATACATAAACAGTAGAAGAACCAGAGACCTAGGGGCCTTAATAGCTCACCTTATATTATCTTTTCAATATAAAACCTGTGGATGCTGTACAAGGTTATCAAAGAAGTGTAGGAAATACAAGCTGCAAGAAGGACTACCTAATCCTTTTGCATGGGTAAGACACCAAGAACATGAGTGTATTCTTCATGCCCAGCAATTTAGTACATAGTTATGTCCTGGGGATATCATCTTAACTGCTTCACTGTTAAGACCCAAGGAGGCAGTCTCAAAGGATAGTCCTGGACCACCAAGTCAATCCTCTTAGCATCACTTTTTTCTGCTCTTCATGCCTAGGAATTGTGTATTTGGTTATGGGGTTGGGTTCACATCACTCAATTCATACGGAGGTAAAGGCTTTTATTGATTAACCTATATTTCTTTTATTGGGCCCCCATCCCTCTGCCCCCTAGGGGCCACAGATTCCATTTATATAAAATTTGATCCCACTTGCCAAACGATCCTCTAAACCAAATAAAGTTTGAATCCTGAAAGCAGTCAAAAGATTTACCTCTATTTCCCCTGTTGCCCAAAAGTTAAGTAAAAATCCTTTTTAGGTAAAAAAGGAGAAAGATTTATAATCTTTTTCTTTATTTCCTTTACTGGCCCCAATCCCTCTGCCCCAAAGGGAGGCCACAACCTCATGAGTTTATACAAAATTGAGACCAGTCTTTCCCCATGGATGCTCCAAACCCCATTTGTTTAAAAGACCCTTCATTTGTTCAGAAGGAGAAAGATCTTCCTGTCTTTCCCCTATTTAACTTAGCCCCTCAGCCCTTTTTATAAAAAATTGAATCCCCGTTTGCCAAAGACGCTCCGGACAAAATTTTGTCAAATCCACTTCAGGCAAGGATCTAAACATAAGTTGAGAACTACTAGTATTATAAATAAAATTGAGTCCCATGGCCAGACAGTCATTACCAAAGGAACATTCATGAAACCAAAATATATTCCTAAATTTCTTCATAAGCAACAAATATGGGGTTAGGATTTCAACTATTTCCATGATTACATTACAATTACAGTTACGAAACCATGTTGTTTCAAGTTACCCAAGAGATTATTTACCTCAGTGACATCTCCTTATACAAAGGTAAAATTAACTGGATTATGCATCCCCTCTCCTTATACACGATATCTCGCAATCCCCTCTCCTTATACATGATATCTCGCAATCCCCTCTCCTTATATACACGATATCTCGCAATCCCCTCTCCTTATACACGATATCTCGCAATCCCCTCTGCTTATACACGATATCTCGCAATAAGTCATCTCTTTGGTTCAAGGACAAAAATACAAAGACAAAGAATGGGTTTTGTTGGGGATATACTTTCGTCTCATTACACCCAATGTCTTTTGTTACACAACACACTTGTAACAGCCAATCTCCTCAGATATAAGTTTACTGTAAATAGATATTGGGTGGGAATCTCTTCAATTTCCATGTTATTACTCAGGAGCTATGTCTCTAGGAGCAGAGAAAGACCCCGGGCCAGGTCTGGTGTTTTGGTGATGACCTCAATCATTTAGAGCTATGTCTCTAGGAGCAGAGAAAGACCCCGGGCCAGGTCTGGTGTTTTGGTGATGACCTCAATCATTTAGAGCTATGTCTCTAGGAGCAGAGAAAGACCCCGGGCCAGGTCTGGTGTTATGGTGATGACCTTAATCATTTAGAGTAGCACAGCTTTACACCTGAGATTTCTCTATTGCAGCCTCATCCCTCCGACTGTGTGGGTGTGAATCAAACCAGTTATACAAAATAGGATCATCTTGCTCTAGTGAAGAGTTAAACTAAAGATGGTTACAATCCATGCAGACATATAGAATGCAGGCTTTTCAAGCAAAAAGGCCCTGAATTCATATCTTAGGCCCACCCATATGCCTCAGGTGATGCATAAATTCATAAATTCAAAATATGATTATCTTGTCTCAATGATGTTTCAGACCACATAGCATAAAAATCTGTACTTTCGTTTGTGAGATGTAGGACATTGAAGACATAGCCCATTTGATGTCCTACCCATTTGGCTGCAATGGTTTGTAATACCTTATTTTATACAGAACATGAGAATCCTGTTATCATGATAGTGTTCAATTCATGCCCAGCAAACACATATATGATAAAATGATGGTGATTTTAACAGTTTCAAAGTTATTACCAAAGTCCTCAAGGGTGAATCATGAGTGTATAAAAAATAATTTTAATTTGTCTTTTTAAGCTCAGCAATCAAATGTGTGGTAATATGAAGAATGTTTATCTCAATCATGTCCATGTTATGACGTGTGACTAAGTATCTAGGGGCGGGGCTGGACCCTGGAATCAATACTGCAAGCTAATGTGTTTGGTTTGTGTTTTACGTCCTATTATCAATTCTGGTGCCAGGTTTATGGTACGTGGAGGGAAAATGGAATATCCAGAGAAAAATAGCTACCAGCTGCAGCCAGTACCTGGCGACTCCCACGTGGACCTCTAACCCATCACCCAGTGGTGGATGGCTAGTGGTTGTAGAAGGTCAGACGACTTGACCACCCAGCCACAGCATCCATGTGTATTGAGATCTTCAAAACTCAACAATTGTATTTGTTGTTATAGGGTGAGGATCTCTCCCATTTCTGTGTTAACCAAGGGTGTTATCAAAAGTAGACCTAAGGTCAATCCTGTTAGCATATCTCTTTTCATCCTTTCATGCCCAGAAATAGTATATCTTGTTTTAGAGAGAGAGTCTCAGTTGTTTCCTTGTTGTGATATATAGAGCCTAAGTCCTAAGGGCCTGGGAGGGGCAAGACTCCAGGGTCAAGTCTGATAATATGATTGTGATTTTATCTACAAGAAACTTCTTCTTAATGATCTATTGCTAGAGAAATTTTGCTATTTACTCTACTGCTATAGGAGAATTGTTACTATAAATTCTACTGTCAGAGGGGAATCATTGTTAATAACAGCTGCATTGTTATATTGGTTATTGCCTAAGCGATTCCTGAAATTTAATGTACAGCACCTTATTGAGCAATCTGCCAGCTTCTTCTGTCCTGTGTTGATGGAAGGCCACTATTCCCTGCAGTAGGTGTAACCTCATAAACAGTGCGAGCTCTGTCCCTGAACCTCCCTACAACAAAATGTTATCTTCTGATCATGGTAAGCTCTATCATTATACCACTCTTCAATACAATGTAACAGGAGGAACAACACGACCTCAGATACCCTTCAGTACAATAAGATACCAGTATAGAGTAGCAGACTGTGGCCATGGGTGATGTTTTAGTACAAATAATAACTCCTGTATAATTACATGTATCACTTCTTTTAAATAAGCACTTGAATTGACATATACATGATGAAATGGACTATGTAAGCATTACAATTCTCAAAGAAAGAAAAAAATCACTTGGTTTGGATTTTTTATTTGTTTGTGTTTTGCGTCCTTAATTAACGGCTATGGTTGTATCAGGTTTCGGTGGTGAGGAAAGCCGGAGTTCCCGGGGGAAAACCACCGAACTACGGTCAGAATCTGGCAACCGCCCCACTTAGGTCTCGAACCCGCAACCCAGTTGTGGAGGGCTAGTGGTACATGTAGCAGAATGTCAGACGCCTTAACCACTTGGCCACCGCGGCCCCACTTGGTTTGAAAGAAAAATTTGTCCATTTACAAATCTATGTCTACGCAACAAAAGCTACTTTTACTTGAAGTGTATTTTTGTGTAAAAATTGTAAAAATTGGACCAGATGAAGCAATGCTAAAATATGAGTATTTCTGTTATCGAGCAGGTGATATTCAACAAATTTAAGACGGGTTTGAAGAATTTTATTTTTATCTGTCATGGTCAAATTCTGAGTTTAATTTTTTTTGCACTTTTTTGCATTTTTTTGGTGTGGTAACCATGGTCTCCACAAGTCCAAAATCTGGGTAAAAAACTTCTAAAAAAGGAAATTCGTTTTTCTAAAAAATTGTATTTATAAGGTAGTTTATAAATATATATACATATTATGTTGGTGTGTTGTGCAGGATGAATCCACTAGCCATGTATTGTTTCTCAGACATGCCCTTTATTATAAAAAAAAACAGGCCATTTCTACTTTACACTGCTACCTAAGCTTGCAGGAAAAAATCTAACATACCTGAGGACTCAAGGTTTTCTTTAGGGGTACCACCGAAAAAGAATTTGAGTAATAATTTGCATTGAAGTAATGTATATTTACATTTGCGCTGAAACCCACTACATGAACATTACCAGCAGAAATGCATTTCATTTGAGTATGAAAGCAAAAACTCTTGTGACGTAACTTGTGGTTTACTTATGACGTCATAGATTAAACTTGTTCAATAAGAGTTATGTCGCTTTGCTCAAATAACTACGGTTAATTACTGGTGTCAATTTTATTTAAATTGGGCTGTTCCACCAATGTCGATTTAAAGGATGACGCATATATAAAAAAAAACAATTGTAAATATATGGATTGAACAGTGTTTTTTTAATTTTCATGCCGGTATGAACGCAATTCGGTTACGTCCATATTAAACATGAAGCCGGCTAATATTCCCTTTGGGGCCCCGCCCTTGCACCTGGGGTTGGGGTAGAAATCCCAATTTTATATTTTTATGCCATCTTCCTCCAAGATATACCTAAAAGTGTTAATTCCCTATATAAACTATTGTAAACTTTACCTTTTTAACCATAATCCCCATTTGGGCCCCACCCCTCCAGCCCCTGGGGCGGGCAGGATCTTATTTTCTCATATGATCTAATTGTCATCTGGCATCATAATCATTCCAACCAAGTTTGAATAATTTCCCGCTGAAAATGGACAAAATATACCCAAAAGTATTATTTCCCTGTATAAACTATAGTAAATTTTACCCCCTCCCCAAAGGAAAACAAATGGCCCGGGAATACTCTGAAATTTACTAGTTAAATAAAACCCCTGATGATCTTTCCATCCATGCAGAGAAATTGACTGTAGTACCTCTGAGGCTGGAGAAGAAGATTTTTGAAATATTGGTTAATTTTCGCTTTGAGGCCCCGCGGCCCCTGGGGTTGGAGCCAGGAATCCCGATTTTACAATTTGATACTATCTTTCTCCAAGGATGATTCTTACCAAGTAAAAATAATTTCCTACAGAAAATTCTCAAAATATACCCAAAAGTGTAATTTCCCTATATAAACTATAGTAAAATTTACCCCCTCCCCAAGGGAGAACGGATGGCCCTGAGTTACTGAAATTTACAATTTAAATAAAGCCCATGATGATCTTTCCATCCATGCAGAGAATACTCCACATAAAGGTAATAGGATTGTGTCGCCATTTCTCAGTAGAATTTCTTCAAATTTTGTAGTTATATTGCAGTAAAGAAAATTTTCTGCCACAAAAAAAATATAGGTTGTCAGAATTTTAAGGATTTTAAAAGGAAATTTATGTAAAAAGGAGTGAATTTTGAAGAAAAAAATGAAACGCACAATTTTTTGCAATATAATGTCAATAAAAATGATACTGACATAGATTAGTATGGCATTAATGTATATCAATTTCATAAATGCTGAAATTGTGTAAAATGAATAATCTATAAACAATTAAAAATTGACATTTTATAATAAAACCATATACACATAGTAATTGCATGGAAGAGTTATCGTTCTTGAAAATCTTCACAGTAGTGAAATAGGTAGCCAGTTTCCTGAAGTACAGAAAAATGGATACATGTGACTCATAGATTAAACAAGAGGCCCATGGGCCTTAACGGTCACCTGATATATTTATACAGAGAGTTGATTTTGTTTTTAACATGAACAGAAATATTATTCAAAGTGACAACAAGAGGCCCTAGAGGGCCTGATTCGCTCACCTGAATATTTAAGCAATCATAGCAAAATATTCTCATTAAAATATCATATTGCACTAAAAATATTTCCCTCACAAACTTTGTTGGCTCCATCTGTTGAAACTATCAGCAAAATATTATTATAAGATTCTATGCTTTTTTATTCTTCTTCAGAAGTTGCTTGACATATTTTTTCCTGTGACCTTGTAAGTAGGTCAATGTCATTTTCCTTCTCAAATTGGTTAGCTCTATTCCAAAAAGCTACCAGCCAAATCTTATGAATCCATTTCTTTTAGTTCTTAAGAACTAATCCTTTAAAATGTTGTTGACCTCTGTGACCTCTAAAGTAGGTTGAGGTCATTTTCATTCGCAAACTTTGGTGAGCTCTATCCCAGGAAGTCACCAGCCAAAAAATTATAATTTTATGCCTTTTAATTCTTCAGAAGAAGCAGTTTGAACCGTTTGACATATTTGAACGCTGTGACCTTGAAAATAAGTAAAGGTCATTTTCATTCGCAAACTTTGTTGGGGTCTTTCCCAGGAAGCTACAAGCCAAATATATAGGTTCTATACCTTTCAGTTCTTCATAAGAAGTCGTTTTAAGCATTAGACATATCTGACTCATGTGACCTTGAAAGAAGGTCAAGGTCATTTTCATCCTCAAACTTTGTCGGGTTCTATCCCAGGAAGCCATCAATCAAATATAAAGATTCTATACCGTTCAGTTCTTCAGAAGAAGTCGTTTGAAGCATTTGACATATTTGACACCTGTGACCTTGAAAGTACGTCAAACTAATTTTCATTCTTAAACTTTGTTGGGCTTTAACCAAGGAAGCCACCAGCCAAATATAAAGATTCTATACCTTTCAATTCTTCAGAAGAAGTCGTTTGAAGTGTTTGACAAATTTGACCCCTGTGACCTTGAAAGTAGGTCAAGGTCATTTTAGTTCTCAAACTTTGTCGGGCTCCTACCAACAAAGCTTTCAGCCAAATATCATGACTCTAGGCCTGTCCGTTCTTCAGAAGAAGTTGTTTAAAGGAAAAGTTGACGGACAAGGACGGACGGACGACGGACGGGTGACGGACGCCGCACCATGACATAAGCTCACTTGCCCTTTGGGCAGGTGAGCTAAAAAACAATAAAACCACCTTATTCAATATCTAGCATACAGATTTCAGACTAAAAAGTATTTGAAACTAGGTCCTCTGATTCTAAACAAGGAAAATGAAGAAATTTTAGCACACTGACTCCTTTGAGCCCCACCCTACAGCCCTTGGGGGTAGAGCTGGCTCAAAATTTTCAAAGTATCAAACTGTCAACTCAAGGTTATAATTCCAATCAAGTTATTAACATGTAATATTCAAAGTATCATTTGCCATTATAAACCATAATAAATTTTGCC